TTAGTAGTGTATTTTAAGACAAAGTTCGCAAAAATTCCCCGCTGAGGCATAAAATTTCCATCTTCCTCTTCGTTATAACTCAATTCAAGAGTACTCAATATTAATTACCTTTTTTCCACTTAAAATATTACTCCACATAAAAGAGCGTTCTGGCTCGTTTGCTCATCTAGCTTTCATCACTCAGTAGTTTTAATCATCAGATCAGCAATATTTAATTTATGCTCTAAATTTTATGCGCTGCTTGCTTGATTGTTTCTCATAGATTTTTCTTAAAAGTTTGGCCTAAAAATCGTTGGGCTCAGTGCCTATGAGAGTAAAAAGTTTGGGAACCTCTGGGATAGAGAAAAACAATGTGAAACGGTTTTCCGATCGAATAATATTTACGGTCGCCCAAGGGCATAAAAGTTTCTAAAAATCCCTCAAACTGTTTAGGCTGCATTTCTCCAAACTCATTTAAGTGGAAATTAACTTTAATTTAATTTTTTATTTAATTCTCATTTAAATTATTTACAGTTTCAGTGAGCTTTTTATTTTGAGTTAGTAAAAAGTGGTTGTAAAACCTACTTTGCCAGCGAAAGCTTTCATTTGTACTGAGAGCTTTTAAAAGCTTTGGCACGCTGTGTGGTAAAAGCAGGGCTGGTATACAAGTAAGCAGCATATACACAAAATTGTGGTGTCTGTATATTGATCAGCTGATTAAACGTGTAACATCTCTGAGTGTGGTTATTCTGATTTAACTTTTATTTTAGTGAAGTGGTAATGTTAATGGTAATGAAATTTTCGATAATGCATTGATAACAGTAACGGAAATGGTTACAGCAGTGGTCAGAGTAATGATAGTAGGATTGGTACTGGTACGTGTAATGGTAATAGTAATAGCAAAGGTGGCGGCATAATTGTGATGCAATTGGTAATGGAAATGAAATTCGTATTGGTAATATTAAATGGTGATGGTAATGAAATTAATATTGGTAATTTATATTGGTAATGGTAATGACATTGGTATTGGTAATTAAAATTGTAATGGTAATGTTAAACGTATTGGAAATTGTTATGCCAACGCTAATGTAAAAGTTATGATAAGGATAATGGTAATGGTAGAAGTAATGGTTATGTGATAAGATATGGTAATGGTTAAAGTAGTGGTAATGGTAATATTAATGACTGATAAGGGTAATATCAATACTAATGATATATATTGGCAATATCAATGATATACACGTAGGTAATAAATAGTAAAATGAATGGTTTTCGTTTACGTAATGGTAACGGGAAGGGTAATGTCAACGATAGCTGTAATTGTTATGAAAGTATGTATGTTTTCGCCTCCTTCGAAAACGAATGCCAACAACGCCACTGTCTGCGAGCTATGCGTTTCACTACCATTTCAACATTCATATCGCTTCTAAATCGCATTTACTAATTTAACATATGAGCACACTGAAATTGCATTACAGTTGGATTTGTGCATTCGTTTGTAAGCTTTTGTAGATATGTGCACATTCATAAGCGGGGCTACTAGCGCTGAAGTACTACTTACTAATGGTGTGGTCCGATTTGTCGGCTGCCTAAATCGGAAGCAGTTCCATGAAACATTTGATGGAATTTACATTTTCAGTTATGAATTTTGCGTTTTATTGTGCGCATACATACATTTGTGTAGCATACATTTGGGCGTTACGACCGGTCTACATATTTTAGTATAATAATAGCATTTCATGCTTATTTGCAAACTAACAAGCAAAGCCGTTTCCCGTATTTATTTATGCTTCACAAATATTAGCATACAAAAATATGTAGAAACATATATACATATGTATATACATAAATACGAGTACATACTGTACTTAGCTGAGCTCTGGCATAAGGCAAGAGAACGTTAAGTGAAAGGGCGGCGCGAACAAAGTTCTGCGAAGTGAGGGTCACGGGAAAGTTAAACGAAGTAAAAGTTATTGCAGTGGCGAAAATTTTCTACAGACTAACGCCATTCCGCACTAGTGCTCCACTTGCAAACACACATTTTAGTCGCATGCATGCTGGCCAAGCACCGCGTCATGTGCAGATACATATACTAGATACATACATATGTAGTATGTATAAGTAGGTACCCAGTAGGGAAAACCCGAACTAGTGAACCAAATTCATTAAGCTAAAAAGAAAAAGTCATCCTCACCACCAGCCAAAACTAATTTATTTTACTTTTTAAAAGGGCGTTCCTCTATACATATCGATGGCTGAGTGGAAGACCGACCTTTCTCAGCAGACTGTTCAAAAACGCCCTATCTCAAAAAAACTTTGAAGAATACCCTATTTCAGAATTCGGTTCAAAACGCCCCATTTCAGCCGCTGATTCAAAAACGCCATATCTGAACATATGTATTTTCCATACATTAAAAAAAAAATCTTCTATATGAAAAATGTGGGAAATAAAATTCTCTTATTCAAAAATTGTTTACGAAAAATGCCAAATAAGCTTAAAGCTATTTCAGAATTCGGCTGAAAACTCCCTATCTCAGCCGCCGATTCAAAAACGCCATATTTCAACATATGTATTTTGAATACATTTTTAAAAACCCTTCTAAATATATGAAAAATGTGGGAAATTAAATTCTCTGCAAATTTTTATAAACAAATTTTTTACGAAAAATACCAAATAACCGTATAAGCTATTTCAGAATTCAGTTCAAAACCCCACATTTCAGCCGCCGATTCAAACCGCCATATATCAACATATGTATTCTCAATATATTTTAAAAAAACCTTTTATATGAAAAATGTGGGAAATTAAATTAAATTAATTAAATACCCACTTCTAGTACTTACCGACCAGATCTCAGTTATGATCGCCCCAAAGTACCACCCTAAAGCCAGTAAATTAAAGCCCAGCAAAAATCATTGCTTTGCAAATAGTTACTTCGCCCACTAGTACGTTTTCCTGCCGGGTATGTGTATGCATATACATAACTTCCTTGTGCACACATGTGGCTTTCGCGTAGCCCACATAAGTATGCTTACATTTTAAGCTTGCTCAACGTCATAATTTACTATTTTATACGCATTACTTATGCCATTTTCAATGTTTTGGTAACGAGTGTTGTTATTGTTGTAGTACGTAGTAGTGGTTGTACTGTGCTTGGGTGCATAACTTAGTGAACAAAACCGCTAAAGTAACATTTTATAAAAAAAAAAACGCGCGAAAAAGTAGGCAGCAAATTTACACAGGCAAGTTAAGACAACAAAGAGTGAGAAAAAATGCCTTGGCGATGGCGATGCAGTAAAAGGATTACACATATATATACAAGCAAAGTTATGTTAGCACTTGGTTTCTGGCAGTGTTCGCTGCATGCTCATGTGGCAGACAACATGAGGCATAACAACAGGCGCTCGCCCAGCTACTTTGTCATGTATCGGAATTCTCCACCTTTTCTTGCAAAGCCATTGCAGACATGTTTGCATGTATGTATATGATTTTTTGTTTGCCACATTGCCGCAACTTTGGCCAGAAAAACGTGTGTGGTAAATATATAGTGCCACTCCATGGATTGGAAACTGCCTGTGCGCCTATTTGTATTTCATACACAGATGGATATTTATTTGTGAGCTTAAGCATTCAGCAGTTAGCTTTGCGTTCGCTGTTGAATGTGGCATGCCTTTTTTTTGTCGGGATCGGGGAACATTAATAAGTTAAATTACCCAATTTTTGCCGTTTGAAAGTAACAGAAATATGTACCTACACTGATTAGCAATAAGCGAGTTTGAATATTTTACATGACTAATTTGTCGCACCGCGTACACTCCGTCAAATGGAAGAATACTCGACTTAACCTTTAATGGAATTTGACTATGCTATGGCATGGCGTAGATTTCTGGTCCATAAATTGATAAAAATATCGATAACGAAACCGAAAAAGATATCGATTATTATATCGATAAGTCCCTAGAATCCCGAAAATCTCTAAAATCCCAAAATAGTTCCCAGATTGAGTCTCTGTGTCTCTATCTATATCCTTTTCTCCTTAATTACCTTTATTTTAATTTGTCTTCCTCTATCTTCAACTTTACTTTTCCCGGTATCCTCATCCTCATCTTTTTCTTTATATTTATCTTTATTTTTACTTTTGTGTTTATCATTTACTTTATCTACATATTTCCCTTCACCTTTGCCCTTATATAAGTAAAGTATTTGAATTTTCCTTTGTCTTCATTTTTGCCTTTATCTTTTTACCCATCTTTGTTCTTATTTTTACCTTTGCCTTTATCATTTTCTTTACCTATGTACGTACTCACCTTTACTTTCATTTTTGTATTGGTCTTTTTCTAAGTGTTATTCTTTAACCGTTTATTAGCAAGTTTTTGTTAAATTATCAACATACATTCAAAAAGCATTTGTTTCCGTCCCAACCATTTCCGTTGCACCATTTCTGTGTGCGATTTCCGCTGAATTTGCCAATTTACTCCCAACCAACCAACCGCCGCTAAAGAAGTTTCACTTCAAAAAGTACTTATAGGGACAGTCAAGAATCCTTGCCGACGCGCAAGTTTTCTACCAGATCAGAAGCGCAAGGAATAATATCCAAAAATTTTGCTTAAGTCTGGTAGTTTCTGAGGCAAGTGCGAACAACGAAAAGGCCTGTCATTTTATGGACATATCGTCACCTGGATGAAAGATTGTCGTATTTTACTTTCGACAGGTTTTGGGAAATCGCATTTGAAGTTTGGAATGCCATTTCTCAAAAGCATTAAAATAGATTTTCGACCCTCGGTGAAAGCTGCTAGTTACTGCTGATTTAGACAATTCATTTCGAAACAAAATCCTCAAGTGCAATTTTTTCGTTTCTCTAGCTTTTAGGATTTTTTAAAGCCTGTGTTAAAATTTCATAAAACTGCAAAATCACATCAAGGACGCTAGCTCTATTCCGTTAAAAAACGTTCGCAAGGGCTGTATAGATTTTTGTTGGTTTTTTTCGTTTTAAAAATGAATTTCGCCTTGGTACAAATGATTACATCGCCTGCGCCAATACAGCACAGATTAACAACAAAATCCATTTATTTTTCCAATTTAAACGAATTTGAACAGATCGAAGTGGTGGTATTCGACCATAATGTATTGCCGCAAATGTTATGCGATATGGTATTTTTGCCAAATTATCCTCTTGATCGAAGCATAAGTGCATCAAATCAGTCAGATATTGTAGGTGAAAGTTAAAACAGTAGACCATAGATCCTTTTTCATGAATAATAAGATTGTGGTCGCAATGCATCGTAAAATTATTATCTATAGACAAAACGGTACAATTCATTATATCCGGCTGATAGAAAGACACCAAAATTGAGGTTCTGTCATTGGCAAGATTCATCATTTTAAACGGTATTCCAACGTAGGTCATTTGATCTTTGTACTTGATTTTTAGTTCTTGTGAAACGGTTCCCTTGCACAGATGTGTCCAAACTGTAGACTCCATAGCGTTGCAGGTTTTAGTGCGCCGTTTGGTAATAGTGAAAGCAAAAAGATTTGAAAGTACCAGAAAATTAAATGCGAACGCTATTAAAGAGATTTTCATTTTATATGTAAACAAAATTTTTGTTTCTCCTTTTGGCAACGAAGTGCTTGAGTAGAAGAAAAATTACAATGATTTATTTACACAAATTTCGATTGATTTACAATATTCAGCTGCTTAGTGATTTAAATTTCTATCAGTTAACCGGATCCCAGTATACTCGATATTTTGCCGAGGCCGTACTCGGTTTATAAATGGTCACCCAAGTGTCTTTTGCCGTTCCAATATGTGCTCTGCAGTTTCGATATCCGTCCAGCAAATCTGCATCACTCCTACGAGTAAATTCCCAATTTGGTGAGGTGATAGTTCAGCCTGTGATTTCTGTAACAATTCGTAAGTTGTTCTTTGATGAACTCATACATTTCTTGGAGCGTAAAAATGCTTTAGAATGCTGTAGACCTGATAGATTATCTCAACAGCGATTTCTTTGAGCCTTTGCTCCAGCCCAGCCAGGGTAGATAGTGCCCTCTTTTTTACGCCACAGAAGGTCTCTGAGCTGATGAAAGAGGTTTCTTTCTTCGTAAGTTTATCAGCAATATCATTTCCTTCTATGTATGACAATATGTCTCGGAATCCACGATTTGTTCCTGCATCGACTACTTTAATTTCGATTAGAATTGATTTTTTTATTAATTTCGATCTGGTATCTATAGCGTTTATTAAATAATGTAGGCTTACATATAAAAAATATAACAATATGGTTATGCTGTTCACAATTCACTGGAGACTTCATTTTTCACTTAATTTCATTAATTTCTTCTTTTTTTTTAATGAAATCTAATAAAATTGAATTTTTTTATTATTATAATTATTATATTAAATTTTTTAGTGCAAAGTGCAGAAAAATACAAATTTTGAAGAAAATCGATTCTCCTGTTCCAGTTAATAAGCGTTACATAATAAAAACTAGTTGAAAGCAATTGTAGGGTTCCCCCAAAATGAACAAAAATTAAAATTAAAAGATCGAAATGCTGCAAAAAAATTTCCAACGAATTTAATTTTTTTTTTGGTTTCTAGAAAAAATTGGTATGCAGTTTTATAGGTAATTAAACTTTAGTGCAAGTTGTAAGTGGCTAAGTGCATACCCAAAATTTTTCTAAAAACTCAAAAACAATTTCAATTTGGCGAAAATTTTTTTATAACATGAAATTTTTCTTGTGAAATTTTGTTTATTTTTTTGGGATCCCTATAATTGTTTTCGACTTGTTTGTATTATGTAAAATTTTTTTAGTGGAACTTAGGTATAAATTTTCTTCAAAAATGCTACTTTTTCTGAAATTTGTACTAAAAAAAAAATAATATAACAATAATAGATTGGCGCTTGCACATATGTATGTTAGTGTTTGGCCGAGCATAAAGGGGAAGGACCTCCAGTTTTACGCTGACTCCAAATGGCGATTGTACATTTATGTGAAGCTGTTTTTCATGGCAGAAATACACTCGGAGGTTTGCCATTTCCTGCCGAGGAGCGACCGCTGTTTAGAAAAACACTTTTTCTTAATTCGGAATCAACTGGGCTCTTGCTAGTTTTATCAGCATTCATTTAAAAAACGATTAATCAAATTGGTTGAAAAATGAAAGATCCAGTGAATTATGAACAGTAAATTCTAGTTTTGAACGACTGTGCAGCGGTCGCCACTACCAACAGTTTATGCCTTAAGACCTGCGCAAACAGGCACGGTACGGTACAATGCGGTAAAATTCCGTACGATATGCGGTATCAAATACCATGTCGTTATATGAGAACACTCAAACAGCCGCAGTGTTGGAAGTGCGGTACAAGGCGGTACAAAACTATACCGCAGCGTACACAATTGACTGCGCTGTATGTATAAGCGGATATATCGTAGAGTTTCATTGGCTTTGCGTACATTGTTACCACGTATCTGATGGGATTATATGAACCGCCACGTACCGTACCGCGCCGTTAGTCGATCCTTGGAACAAAAAGGTTCCATATTTATTTTGTTTTACCCTTTGATTGTTTGTAAATAAGAAGTAATTCGACCTAAAATGTGCATAAGGAAGGAATGTCCAAAGGGTGGAATTCCTAACTTTTTTTAGATGCAATCTACGGTTAAGAAAATTCACTTTGGGTCCAGTGCATCCAGAACAATAAGAGATAAAAGGAAATTTGTCAACAAAAAATTTATAAATACCTTTTTATACAATTTTCTTAGCTTTGATCGTTGATCTCATATAACACATGCCTCACAGAAAAACTTCAAATAGAGTACCTAAACATCTGATCCAACTTTTGCAAAAACAACAATCTCTATAGCCATCGTAATCGAAGCAAAATTTGTTTGCTAGGATTGCCAAAATTCGACGGCATGGAATACAATGAGGCAACTTAATTTGTTCGCCAGGTAAATAGCAAAATGCAAGAACTTTTGATGCGCACCTAAGCAAACATTTATACAGACTAGGGTCTACATTCATATATATAGTAGTTTTTTGCACATTTATACAAACATACAGTGTGTACGTTAGACGATATTTACCCACTTCTTCCGTAGAAATTTATATTTGGAATTGTGTAATCATATACATATGTATGTATGTACATATGCATTTAGGTATGCACAGTAGGGCGGTCCAAAAATGCATGTGAAAAAGTAAAGTCGGAATTATAATGCTCTACCCCCCTAGAATTTTTCTATACCGAAAAAAATTATACCCCTGTTTTTTTAATTCGAAATCAAAAAATATTTAAAGTTCGCTCAAAGCGCTCAAACTTTTCCATACATATATTTTATATGGGGAAAAAACCAGTTTTCGTAGAAATAGTATAGAATTCTTAAAAATCTATATTTTTCGATTGGAAAACTTTATTTCTCTTCAGGAGACTGCCAATGATAATACCCAATTGTTTGTTATAATATTTTTTATACTAACGATTTTTTATTTCCCCCATTGCATTTTTTGAGGTTTTTAGGCATCCCATAAAAAAATATTTAATAATAGAAAATGTTTAAATAAACAATTGGATATAGTTACTGAAAGTCTCCTAAGAGAAATCCAGTTTTTGGATCGAAAAATATTGATTTTCAAGAATAAAAAAGAAGAGCGACCTCCAAATATATTTTTTTAATTACATTTTGGACCACCCTGATGTACAGTGTACACATGAGACGGAATTTACATTTTTGTTCGTGTGCGCCTTCTTAAGTTGTTTCGCCGTTTACTTCTTCGCGCCATAAATTAAATGAAATTAAGGGTGGTTGCTCTCATCGGTACAACAATATGCTAGGTTGTTGCACATGCGCAAGGGGTGTAGCTAGCGCCCAGCTAAATGCCGTTAGCGATGCCACACAGTACACAATTCTGAAAAGTGGTGCATTCAACTGTAAAAGTTCAAAAAAGAAGCGAAGAGCTCTAGTCGTATTCACACAAAGACGTTTAAATTGCTGCCACGAATATCTTTGACTTCTTTCTTATACAACAAGCATTATTGTTGTCGATGTTTTAAGGTGAGTGAACATATGTTCACTATGGAAGAACTCTGGTTGTGCTTGCTGTGTTGTGCAGCAAGTTTTGGGTATGAAACGGCGTACAGCTGGCTGGCAAACTATAGATTGCTTTTTTGTGGGCTGCACATGGTGGTAGCTTTTTAAATGTTTCTTTAGGATGTAGTAAGTCACTTGCGAGCAGTTTATTTACAGCAAAAAGGCTGAGTAGTAGACTGTAAGAAAGAGAAAAAGATACGCGAAGGCCCTATAACTTTACCTGGTATTGGCGAAAGGCGAGACTTTTATCAAGGAGCAATTATCGAAGATGGGCGGTCGCTGGGGCTGAATGTGGTACTTTGTGGTACTTCCATTCCGTAGGATAAGGGTTCGATCTTTGTTCGGGCAACATCTAAATTAAAAAAATGTTTTTCTAACAACAGTTGCCCCCTCGGCAGGCAATAGCAAACCTCCGAGTCTATTTCTGTTATGAAAAAGCTTCTCATAAAATCCAATCGCCATTCTGAGGCGGAGTTAAACTGTAGGCTCCTCCATTTTGTGTAACAACATCACAAAAAAAAAATATGTTTGAAGATTTCATTACAGAACGCGGAAAGTGCTAAGAGACAAAAGACTGGCTATTGATGAATCCGGGATATTGATTTTTTAATGTTGACTTGTTCATGAAATCATTTTGTTTTGTTGTTTTGTTTAAAAATTGGGTTTGTTTTTAATTTTTCACTCATTTCTAATCAATTCACCGACATGAGGTAGAATCCATCAGGCGAATTGAATTTTCATTAATACCTGTTTTTTTCTTCACAAAAAACTACGTCCAAATTCGATTTAACAAAATTTTTAAACGTTGGCATTTTTGCCATTTTTCGACACTTCGACATACTAGAAAAATGTTGTAAATGCACTTTGAGGTCGGAACCCCCTTTTTGAAGTAAAATATGACCAAATTTTGTTGAACCGTGTTATCGAAATTTGTTAAATACAATTGTTATACCAATCGTTATGTACTGTTCCTCTCCCGGTACTACCCTCAAGTATTTCGTCGGGAGATGGGGGAGCACGATGCTCTACGTTCGTTTCAGTTCCTTATTGGGTCCCTTCGTCATGTCACTTCCGCATGATAGATTTTTTATAAGGCCGGAGATATTTGACGTGGACGTCGGCACTGCTCATATCTTCTCAGTTGGCTCAAACTAAACTTGACCGTATTGTTCACTGCTTCACATTTCAGCGGATTCTATCATGTGGTCTACTAAATATATTTTCTGGTGGAAGGTTTTCCCCAAACACAGAGCAAATTTGGAGTAAAACATATTCGACGTCTTCAATAGTGCCATCTCCACACGTTTCGCAGAGGTCAGGTACTATCTGAAAGAGCCGTGAACTGTAGGGACCTGAGTTAAGTGGAAGTGATTTCTATTATTCAGTGTTTGCTGC